AATTAAATTTAAAATAAAATTAATTACATATTTTTATAATTTTTGTGAGGATGGGGATCCTCGTAGGGTGGGGAAAATTTCCGATGAAATTTCACAAGGGGAAAATGCCTCCCATCCTCGCCCTATCTCCGTGACGAGAATCCTCGCAGGGTATCACAGGAATCGAGGTAAATTGTCACCCCTACTTTAAAAGCTTTTAGGTTTTAAGAATGAGTCAATTAATTGATTAGACTAGTTCTAGTCAATCTATTGTTAAGAGAAGGGGTGGGCATTCGAGTGGGTAACTGATGGTTGCTCGGAAATTGAACAAAAAAAATGAATTCAGTTTGATTTAAATGGTTTTTGGGTTTTATTGTCCTAGTTTGGTATAAACCAAATAAATTTTGGTTCAATTTTGATTGAAACTTTCATTAACTAAAAATCAAAATGAGCTTCTTGAAAATCAAATTAGATAAATATGATAAAATATGACATGAAATATAATCTATTATTAGGAAAAAAAACTTATTAACATTTATTTGATAAAAATTGAAATCGAATATAAAATAACTGATTTTATTGGTAATCGAACTAATCGGTTGATAAAAAATTTGATTCGATTTCAGTTCTCAAAATTTTTAAAACAAAATTTCAGTTAATTTAAAACCAATTTTGGTTTCAATCGAAAACGGTTTTTACCCACCCCTTGTTAAGAGAACATTTGGAATGGAATTTTTTTTTTTTTTTTACGTCATGGAGTGGAAGTAATGATGGAATTGATTCTTACAAAAATGTATCAAAGGACCATCAAATCGGAAACCATCTCGTCAAATCTGCAACCTTACCCACATCACAAAACATGTCACCCACCATGTCAGAATCACCTTGGGCCCTTGAGTTCACTATGAGAATCAGTAAACCATCAATTTTGAACTAATAAGAGGTTGGATCAAGTGGTAAGCGATTTGTTCCAGCTTAAATAAAGTCTCGAGTTTGAGATCTTGTGTACACAGCAGCCCTCGCTGGAGACTCACTCATCATTTTCAAGTACGCGACGTAAGTTGGGTCCGGATTAATTGGGACGAAACCCCAAATACTAGACGGAAACAAAAAAAAACTATGAGAATTAGTTGCATTCGCATCATCCAGTGTTGAAACCATCAATTTTGATACCATTATTGGAAATTAAATTCTCTCTTTAAGTATTGATACCACTTGTTGGAATTTGATTTTGATGTGTTTGCATTATCCAATGTTGGAAACATCAATTCTAGGCAATTATTGGAAATTAAATTTCTTTTCTAAATATTGATATCACTTGTTGAAATTTAACTCACATCAAAAATCAATTGATAAAAAATACCACCACAAAATTATGCAAGCAAATTAAATAATAAAACAAAATATTAAGGAAAAATAGCACTCAATTTAACATGAAAAACCCTTCCAAGTGAGGGGAAACACATGAAGAAGAAGAGAAAAATCTATTATTAAGAAAAAGATACAATTTTATAAGTCCAATCCCAATCTCCTCTACAAGCCCCTAATCTCTCTTTGGAACCCTCCCTTAATCTTGCATTTCCTCTCCCACCCCTAGCACTTCTTAAAAGTCTCTAAGAAACTCTCATAAACAACCCATATGGCTCAAAAGCCCTTCTCAACACTCAAATTAAATAAAGGAATCTCATTATCACAATACCCAAAAAGAATAGAGCCACTCTCTTTCACCACCCTATAGGGGGTGGGTCATAACCAGACCACTTAACGTGGTGTTCCACTCATACACCTCATATATACTAGGATTGCTAATAACATGTATTTATATCTTAGAAGTATTAGAGTTAGGTTTAAAGTAAAAGTCTATATCCCTCTTCAATTTGGAGTTTCCAATTTTGTCCTCTGGTCAAAATCCTTGTCAAATGCAGATTACCATTTTAGTTGCATGTTCCAAAACCTCGAAGATTAGTTTTGGAACTTTTCCTCAAAATTGCAATGATATTAACTTAAGAAAGCACAAATGTTCTAAAACTTTTCCCAACGCTTCGGAACTTCCACCATATTCTGTCAACTTCATTTTATACTTCAATTTCTTCTACAATTTCAAGGCATAAATCCCAACAAGGATTTGGTAAGTAATTATCATAGAAAGCAAGGGCTGTGAAGAGCTCAATGAAATTGGATCTAAAGAAGGCTTATGATTCAATGAAATGGAAATTCATTAGGGGCTAACGATGAGCCTAGGATTCTCAATGTAGTTTGTTCAATTGATAACAAAGTATCTACAGTTAATCAATGGTGTTCCATGTGATTACTTTTATGGAAAAATTGGCTTCAATAAGGACACCTTATTTCTCCCCATTTATTTATCATTGGAATGGCATATTTGTCTAGATTGCTAAAGAAGGTAAAGGCAAATGATTAGTTTCATTTCCACTTTCATTGTAAGGAGCTCTGGCTTACTCTTTTTTTTTTCCTTTTTTTTTTTAAAGATGATTTAATGATGTTTTCCAACTCCAAGGCTTTTGAAGTAATGTTTTGAGTCGTTCTCTGCTTCTTCTAGACTTACAGTAAATAAAGACAAAAGTCAAATCTTCGTCCAGGTTGAGTGGCAGATTGTCAACCAATTTTGGAGAATATTAGAGCAAGGATCAAGTCTTGGACAAATGAACTTGCATCTTTTAGCGGGGGAATGCATTTAGTATAGTCTGTTCTATTCCATCTACATGTCTACTAGTGTAATGTCTTTGTTATACCAGGTAAAGTCATTAAGCTCATTGAACATTAATTACTTTAGGAAATTTGGGACAAGAGACTGGGGGAAAAGTGGGGCTACCTTTGATTTGTTGAAACAATATATATGCTTTCCAAGGAATGAGAATGGGCTTGGTATCAAGTGGCTCAAAGCTTGGAATAGAAAATTACAATGTGTAGGAATCTTTGGGTTCTTGAATCTAATGCTGCAAGTTTGTGATTTGTACGGATCAAGCAGAGATATTGAAAGGTCAAAGTGTATGGGTTTGTTATAATCTCCTAACATTGCCATTGATGTTAAGGAAAAAATTCTGCAACGAAGACTTGTTATTTAGGATCATATAAGAGAATGGTGGTGGGAGATGGGAGAGAAACTTCTTTGTTTTATGACTTGCGGCTTGGTAACTCTAGGTTGGAGGATGGATTTTGTGATGAAAACATGGTTAAACAATGAGGCTCTAAGCTCACCATGGTATATTAGAGGTTGAACGGTGGTTTTTTTCCCCCCCTTTTTTTTTAATATTGAATAAGGTCCTGAATTTTAACCAAATTTGCAATGGAGGTCTTAAAGTTCTATAAGCTCAAAAAAGATCTCTAAGTTATCAAAATTCTCAAATA